TACTTAGACATAAGATTAATTTCATAAATTATACGTATTCTCTCCGTTTTTGAATAAAATTTGTTTTTGAATGCATATTTTTTTTCTTTACAAAATTCCGCAGGCGTCCCGCTCTGACGAAAAATATAAATGGTCACATTAACCATGTACCATTGTATATACGCCCAATAAAGGTACCAAGTTGTATTAAAAAGTGTATGCATCAGCTACAACAACTAATATTTTACAAAAACAAAATTGTTGTTATAGAAATTAAAAAGTCATGTTGACAATTAGTTATAATTTGAAAAACGTAAATAAACAAAAGGTAAATAAATATGTTAAACAACAGTTTGGAGGAAATATCGAAACTCCGAAATTCCCGCGCGTTCAAATGCATTAAAAATGTCTACATAATCTGGATGGTTTTATATATCTTCCGTATATCTATACATTTACAATTTGTTTACCATATATTTTTATAACGGAAATTTACAATTTGAATTTTAGAAAAAAAACAAGTAAAAAAGCTGTAAGTTCGGCCGCTTTGAAAACCCTCCACCATTTGGAACGAACTTGGCTATTCTCAAAAACAATAAAATCCGCTAAAATTCTGTTAAAATCTTAAAATTACCGAATGTAGCTGTTGCATTAGGGACTATACGACGACATGGACCTGCATAGGTAACTTTTGTCATAAGCTATTACAATATTCAAATGCGAAACTTAACAAAAAAATCGGTGAATAATGTAGCTAAATCATCAAAATACCGAATATCGGGAGGTACCGTTATTTGGGGGCTATACACAGACAATTTTCTGTCATAGGTTGTAGTATCCATCACGAACTTAAAATACCAAATTAGAAACGATTCCGGTGAGAAATATCGGTAAAATCATCAAAATATGGAATATCGGGCGGCACCGTTATATGGGGGCTATACAAAAACCTGCAGACCTAATATACATTTGAGTAAAATTTTGTCAATCTACTTCAATTCGTTCGCAAACTAGAGTGATTTCCACAGACGGATAGACTGACAGGCATCGCTAAATCGACATAGAATTTTTTGCTGATCAAGAATATATATTCTTTGTGGGGTCTAAAATGTATATTTCGAGGTGTTACTATGGTGGAGGGTATAATAAACAACATTGTAGACGGATGTACCCCTAAACGTTACCTTGTGGCCATTCAATTCAAATTAATTATTATTAGAATTCAAAATCATGTGAGGCTAGATTTTACTCCTCATTGTCAGTTATCGTTTAAGGCATTTTCTTGCCAATTTATACATTTGAAAATACCTCATGAACGTTTACAAGGCAATCTGGCAACTGTTTAGCCAATGGTTATAATAATTTAATTCATGTTTATTTGTAATTTTAAATATTTTTATTTTTTAAATAATAATAATTGTTTTCATTCTTTTCATTAGTTGTGTTCCAGTACTTTTTTAGTAGTAAAACTAGCAGAAGAGAGAACAGTTCGAAATGTCATTCTCATTTAGGTTTGCTCAAAAAATAAGGGAACGGAAAATTAGCAGAAATGCGATAAAATATCAAAATTCCAAAAGTAAACAACCTAAATCGGACTGGTGAAACCTTACTGAAAAGAGCGCCAACATTTAAAAAATGAGTATTGAAGACGATAAGTTAAAATTAATAATTTATAATAATAATTAATAATCTGATTCCTCATTCAGCCAGTCCTCTTTCTTTAGTTTTCAAGTTGATCATTTTCTTTATTGAAATGTATCAATACATTTTGCAACCTTGTTAGCCCTGCCAATTAAATGTCAAATTTAAATATGCACATTTCTGCTCGGCCAAATTCATGTAGCTAAAACAAGCAGAAATGTGCACCACTCAGCGCCATTTTTTTCTCGAGAGAGCTGCAAGTTTTGCTAGTTTTTGGAGTACGGGAACGCGTTGTAGCAGAATTAGTGCTAATTAGTACTAATTTGCAGGTTCTGGAACACAACTATTATGTTCATACATCTGCTATTTGAATCTTGATTTGAAATATTCAACTTTCTGTATTTTTTTGTCTTGCAAAATTTAAATTACAATTTTATCCGTTCCACCCTAAATTTCATCTTAGGCTTAAATAAAGTTTGCGCCTAAAGTAATGCTCTAGTATGTTTTTTTAGGTTAAGAGGTTTTTTTTTTAATTTGGTTTGCACCACGTGTAAAGATAATAATAAAATTAATAGAATCAGTGAACACTATGAATTGTGGCTAAAAATATTTTTGTTTCAATTTATAAAATTTCCTTTTCAGCTATTTGAGCACTTTGTTTCGATGTTTCTTTCTTTTTCATAAATCGCTCTCAGTATCTAATTTTTATAGGTTTGTGTACTTACTGCAATAATTTTAAATACATCAATTTTCCAAACCGTGTGGTGAATATTTAGTTGTGTCAAAGGTGAGGTTATCTTACTTCGAAATCGCTCGGAATATTGTGTAGATGTCGTCTGAAATATTTGGCTCTTTTACAAGGCAATCCTTTAAGGTGAAGATAATTTTATCACAATATCCTGTATAAAATTGCAACAAAAATGGTTTTATTTAACAAAGTTATATTATTTTCGTCTTATGTTTTAAAAAGTATGCTTACCCGAGCAGAAATTTTACACCCAAACAAAAAAAATATATGATAAATTGATTGATGAAATTGAATAAAAAACTTTTTTTTTATACACACATTAAAGTTATAATTTTTGTTACTATTTTATTTTAAATTCTTATGGTGAAATTATCTTTATCACCTTGACACTTTCAAACCAATTGACAATTTTTCCCGGACATCAATTTAGGTAACTTCAAGGTGACTTTTATCACTGTCAGTTTCCAGTGGAAACTTTCCACATGGAGTTGAAGTTACAGAGTTGAAATATTGATTCTGAAGTCCACTGTGAAATGATCGCACCAGTTATAAAGTGAAGTTTTCCAACACTATGTCAAATGTCAAACAATAATATTTATTCCATAGCAGCGAAACACAAACAAAAGGCAAATAATAAATTTTGCTTGCTACAAAAAGAAATAAAAGTTCAAAAATTACAGCCAAGGGTGGCTGCCACTGGAATGATAAACTTAGTAACATAATCCCCAAAGGATGTTGGAGACTATAAAAAAGGAAGGTCCTGCACGCAAAGGCTGTTTGTTTTTACTTAGATTCTTCTTTTTTTAACCATCACACTGTGGGTAAAAAGCATGATTTTTTGGCATAAAGTCATTTTTTTTGGTTTCAGATTTTGAAATTTAACTGATTTCCTAAATGTAGATACCCATATTTAATATCAATTCGGGAGACAACCCTTTTTTGGTGACGAGCTTTTAAAGTCAGCTGTTTGAAAGTCACTTTTTTTGGTACAACTGGCGGTAAAGATCAGTTGAGTTCAAGTGCTTGTGATTTGACAAAATTGAAAAAAATTAAAATGTGTAATTATGGAAAACGTTAGTGCAGGTATGTAAAATTAAGACGAGATGCCCTTTTTGTCATAATTGTCTGTTGTTGTAATACTGTGAAATGTTTTGTTTATGTATAACTTTATATAAAATCTATAAATTGTAGTTGTATTCCGTGGAGTGTAACTTGTGAATGGCAAAGCATTGCCAAAAGGTATAAATGCCAAGTTATTAACAAAAGTGTGTTAATTAATGAGTAACTAGCTTTTTTTGTTCTATTTTGCGCCAACACGTGTTTTGCAGATAAACATGTGTTTGTCCATGCAGCGCTTATTGAAATTTGGAGCAGCAACAATCGCTCAGAAATATGTTGCAGAATATCAATGATATCAGTTTAAATGAAGACCAAATGCGTTTGATATCAAAACAAGTTAAAGATTTTGTTAATTATATAAAAAAGCATTTGCCAAAGTGCATCCGTAAGCTAGAGCGATTTAAAACTAAACATTCAAAATGGCTTAGCAAAAGTATAATTATTGTAATGAATGAGCAGTCATCTTGGGAGAATAAAACATGTACACAAAACAAATTTCACTTCAATAGGTTCATAAACAAAAAAGTTGGGTCAAATCGGCCAAATCGACTATATAGCAGCTATATGAAATAGTGTCCCAAATCATATGAAAATTGGTAGGTCATCTTGGTAGAATAAAAAAATATATACCAAACAAATTTCACTTCAATAGCTTTAAAATTATGCCAAAATAAACTTAAAAAAAACATAGTGCATCAGTTGCAAAAGCTCCCACAAACTTCAAAGCAGCCTCCAAAACCCAAAATAAGAATGTACTACAAAAAACCAAATTGGAAATTTTAATGAAACAAAGAGTTGGAAAAATATTTAATTGGATTTGACAAGTTTATTTACAAACAAAATTGAAAAAAAAATTAAAAACCATATGATTGTCAATTATACCTTATTAAATACACCTTGAAAGTTACCATGGTAGAAGAATATAGGTAGACACAGCTGCTGGAAAAATGAACTGTCAAACCCATTTTGGAATTGAAAATTTTGAATGAAAAATTATTTAAATTTTTAAAAAAAGTGTATTATAACCTCCGAATGACGTCGTATAAGAAAACATATAAAAATCAAATTATATTTGAAAAGACATTTGAATTTTTTTGACATATTAATGTTCCTAAGCTTTGATGCATCTACCTGTATTCCTCTACCATGAAAGGTACTTTATATAATAAAGTATAATGTGAACATTCTGTAACAGATTTGAGACTATCGTTTTGTTTACTACATTAAATAAGTTGTACGACAAATCGAAACCTTTAAAGAATTGATGGATGCTAATAAACGAATATCGTACTATTGCTGTGGTATCATTTCACGGAATGAACTGCTTTTACAGATATTAGATTAATTTAATTCAATATGTCGTATTTTGCTATTGTGTATAGTGTATATCATCTCTTTCCTTTGGAAAAAAACAATGCAAACCGGTTACTTAAATGCCTTATTGCCTCTCAACACTAATATTAAATATCAGCTGTTTAGCGTGTATTATACAGCAATATGTCACAACAGAAATGATAACCCATATCTTAAACATCTGTTGCTGTGTTGTCGGCCGTTTTGTTTTGATTCCTTTTGTGTTGTCCGCCTTTCCCTTTTGATTCCATCTTTATTTCGATTTTCTCTCTGTGCTGTCTTTCTTTTCAGTGTTGCCATATTGTAATTTTATTGTGCTAATTCATTTGTGCTTGGACACCGCGTGCTGTGGAGTGATGTAGTGATTGCAAAATAAAGAAATATTGAAAAATTGGAACACAAATACAACTCAACAAGAAATACAAGCAAAATGTCCACCTCATTGTTTGAACAACTGCAACGTCTAAAGGCTCCGCAGTCGGGGGTCATTGCTGATCCCAAAAGGCGAGCTTCCATTCTTTTTGACCCCAAGGAGGCTGCCAGTAAAGATAGACGAACCATCTATGACTTGGGTATTCACGGGCTGCAGGAGCTAATTGTTCTTAATCCAGCATTCCAACAATTTGAGCAAACGCTTTTCGATGAGAACACATTGCATATGGAAAGAGCTGTGGAAGTGAAAGAAGTCAATGACCTGTTGAATCGGAATATTAAAAAGTTTTTACAACATTTAAGTCCTTATTTTCTGCTAAGACCATCTCTACTGTGTTTGGAATGGCTGGTGAGACGCTTTCAGGTCCACGAATATAATCGTAATGAGCTAATGGCCTTGGTGCTGCCGTACCACGAGACAAATGCTTTTGTAAAGGTTATACAAACATTCAGTCTAAAAGAATCAGTTAAGGATTGGAATTGGCTAAAGCCCCTTCAGAAACCAGGCAAACCTTTGGCCAAGTCTGCCATCCTTAACAGAGCAGCCACGGACAAAGGTTTTCTAAATTTTGTTTGCAAAATTACAACAGAAGCGATAAAGGAACTGGGTCCTCAGGCCCATTTGCTTCAAACACTGATGAACTTTTATGGTTCAGTTGTAGTGGGCGCGTTGGAAACAGCCAGTGTTATACAGGAATGGCATATCACCACGATATTGCCATCACTGATGAAAGGTCTAACTACGAACACCATTGATTTTGCTTCAGCAGCATATATTATCACTGCTCGACTAGTGGCTCGCACCTTGGTTACTGCCAAATTGTGTAACGCTCTCATAAGCAAAGTGTCAAATGTCCAATTTGAACGCCTCAGACGAACAGCCGTGCTCCTGCTTATATGGATTTTCGATAGCCAGCAGGCATCACAACCAAAATTCAGTGAAGATACGTTGCGTCATTTGGTGCGACAGAAATGGTTCTTAACAATTCTATCGGACTTGTCTAGGGAAAATGTTGATATACAATCAATTTGTCAACCCATAATAATGGATTCTGTTCATTACATACATACTCAAAGCTCACAATGGGAAGAGTACAAGATATTTTTGGAAAACCTAATTCAGGAGGTTGTATTTCCAACAACCACTGCTCAACAGGTCATAAGGTAATGTTCTTACTATTAACTATAATATTCTGCAAATGTGTTACTTACAAATATGATTTTATTACAACAGCACCTTCTTGGATTGCTATGTTCCTTCGACATCATCAAACGGTCCTTCACCTCAAAGAAGTAGTCCATTGTTGGATGGAGATATCATTGAACTGGACTCTGAAGATGACGATGTCACAATGACCAGTACCAATTTTCATTCTTGGTATTCCAGCTATTTACATAAATTGGAAAGACAATATCCTACGGTATTCGATATGACCATTAAGGAATCTTTATCGAGCAAAGAAAAAGAAAATGCCAATGGCCGCAGCATAGCCATTAAAATGGCTTTGGGTAAGATTTTTATTTGTAGTAAAAGCATGTTTTAGGAGGTGTATTGATTTTAATTCAAGAAATAATCGTAATTTAGGGTTCAACTTAAATTGCTGTGTTGCATTCAAAAATACTGCACATGTCACCAAAATTTGGTTTGTTTCAAGGCCGTATTAGTAAATTTCGCAAGCGCCATCAAAGACGAATATTTATATTCATACCAATATTTTTGGTGACGATTATACACTGGACATGGGCAGGCTCAAATGTGTGTCCTTCTCTAAAAAAATTTGGAAAAAATGAGTTTAGCTCCAGCTGGCTAAAAATTCGAAAAATTCAGCTGGTCTTGTTATTCTAATCACAGCGAAATTTTTTTTGGGGGAAATCAATACCTCCCAAGATATAGGTTTCCAATGTTCCAAAATATCCCTTGTTTACTTTGCTTCAAAATATAACTACAGGTAGGTGGCTTCGACCGGGGCTTGGGATTTTCTCCTCTAGGTTATGTCCAACACCGGCTTCGCGGACCAAAAGTTAAAATAGCCGGCTGTGGCCTGAGATTTTCTCCTCTGGGTATGTCCAATACCGGATTCGTGAACCAAAAGTTTTTAAAGAACACGGCTTTAGGCCGGGGCTTGAAATTCCCTCATCTAGGTTATGTCCAACAGCGGCTTCGCGGACCAAAAGTTTCTAAAGTATACGGACTTCGGCCGGGGCTTGAGGTTTACCTACATTTAATATTGTTTAAATAACCCAAAAATATAAGGAAGATAGTTTTTAAAATGTGGAACCCTATATTTCGTGAAGTATGGGCGGACCTCCCGAAAATGTTTTCTTGATGTAATCAGCATACAAGTCCCTACCTGTACTGACATTTGGATGTTTTTATTGTGATTATCGGTTTAGAAATAACAAAGTAAAAAAGGGTATTTTTTGAACATTGGAACCCTATGTCTGGGTAAGTATGACTTTCCCCCCCAAAAAATTGTCGCTGTGATTAGGATAACAAGACCTGCCTTTGGGAAAATTTTCAGAATTTTTCGCCAGCTGGAGTTAAACTCAATTTAAGATAACTATATAAATATTTTATACCCGTTAAACCCCGAAATTCCAGATTACAGGTAGTTCATTTGCTATTCTAAAAATTTGGAATACAATTCCAAAAAACCTAAGAGTACTATTTTAATATATTAAATATTGAGCTCTATTTAAATAGAAAAAAGGAGCAAGTTGAGTTTAGGGGCTATGCTCGGATCATTTTGAAATTTTTACCGCAGGTAGGTATTTGTAACCTGATTACGGCAATGTAATTTTTTTGTGGGGGAAATACCCGGTTACCCGGTTATTCGACCCAAAAGTTCGAATATAACATCCGGTTTGTATCCGGTTCTACGTAACCGATATCAATAAAATGGGTATCATTTGAAAGCTTATGAAAATACCTATCCAACAAGTGGTCATATGACGGGGTTGCTGGAACCGGTTTCGGAGAAATTTAGGAAAATTTGCATTTTTGTATGAGTACTTTTTGAAAAACCTATAAAAACTCGAAAACGGACCCATTATAGGGTCTTAAAATCTATACACTATATTATAGCTAACACTATTGCCTTTCCAAAATGGTGTCATATGTGTTGATATATTTTGTGGTTCCGTGGATATAAGAGATAGAATTCATTAAATTATATTTTTCTCCAGTCTAGATGCATTTGACTTTGACCTTTATAGCTTTTTTAAGCAACCGGCCTTCGGCCGGGGCTTAAGATTTTCTCCTCTGGGGTATGTCCAACACCGGCTACGCGATCCATAGTTTTTCTAAAAATTGTACATTTTGTAAGTAGCCGGCCTTCGGCCGGGGCTTAAGATTTTCTCCTCTAGGGTATGTCCAACACCGGCTACGCGATCCATAGTTTTTCTAAAAATTGTAATTTTTGTAAGTAGCCGGCCTTCGGCCGGGGCTTAAGATTTTCTCCTCTAGGGTATGTCCAACACCAGCTACGCGATCCATAGTTTTTCTAAAAATTGTAATTTTTGTAAGTAGCCGGCCTTCGGCCGGGGCTTAAGATTTTCTCCTCTGGGGTATGTCCAACACCGGCTACGCGATCAATAGTTTCCTAAAAACTGTAGTTTTCGAAAGTAGCCGGCCTTCGGCCGGGGCTTAAGATTTTCTCCTCTGGGGTATGTCCAACACCGGCTACGCGATCCATAGTTTTTCTAAAAATTGTAATTTTTGTAAGTAGCCGGCCTTCGGCCGGGGCTTAAGATTTTCTCCTCTGGGATATGTCCAACACCGACTACGCGATCCATAATATTCTAACAACACCAAATTAAAAACAAAGCAGATTAACAAGAACGTTAAACCCGACACAAAACTTGGGTTCACTCAAACTGCTTTCATAAGTAACGACTTTAAAAGTCAATATCTTCGGAACTACAAAAGATATCAACACATATGACACCATTTTGGAAAGGCAATAGTGTTAGCTATAATATTGTGTATAGATTTTAAGGCCCTATAATGGGTCCATTTTCGAGTTTTTATGGGTTTTTCAAAAATTACTCATACAAAAATGCACATTTTCCTAAATTTCTCCGAAACAGGTTCCAATTGCCCCGTCATATGACCACTTGTTGGATAGATATTTTCATAAGCTTTCAAATGATACCCATATTATTGATATCGGTTACGTAGAACCGAATATAAACCGGATGTTGTATCCGAACTTTTGGGTCGAATAACCGGGTAACCGGGTATTTCCCCCACAAAAAAATTATATTGCCGTAATCAGGTTACAAATACCTACCTGCGGTAAAAATTTCAGGTCAATCCAAGCATAGCCCCTAAACTCAACTTATGCCAGAAAAAATGGATAGTTGGTTATAGCAATATCAACTTTGATTTTTATGCCTGTTAAAAACTTAAACCACATATATACAAATATTTCGTACCCCGCTTACTAACAAAGTTAGCGATCATACTCACCTGATTTGCTTACAGTATTTGTGTTTTTAATCACTGGCCCAATTTGCGTATGTCAATAATTACGAACCATGATGACATAATTTGAGACATCTCTTGTATTTTTACAACATTTTATTGAAAAATTAATGAAAACAAATTCTTTTGTTTCTCGTTTGCAGGTTATCGCCTTCAGTCTTTTGGCAATGCGGCTTTCGACATCTATGAAAGTCTTTATCACCATAATGGTGAAATCCGTCTCTTGGCCATTCAAAATTTGGTGACAAATCTTAAAGTCTATCAAAAGCGTCCACAAAATTACCAACTACTCAAAGAATGCCTCGGTGATCGCATTGGTGATGACAATGCTGAAATTGTTGCTGAATTATTAAAACTTACAACGGAAGAGATATTGGAAATTCTGGGAGCGGAAAAATTTGTTGAGGCATTAATAGCAATTTTGTATAAAATACAAATAGAACCAAAACAGTGGTCACAGTTGACGTTGGTGGTTGTTAAGCACTTAACAAAGGACGTGGTTATCAAGCAATACGACACCAACTTAATATTTCTAGCAATTATGCCATTATTATTCCCCGTCGATAGTGAGGCTACCTCAGTAGAGACTGTGAAGGAAATTATCAATAGTCCTCTGACTACATATGTACCATTTTTGAAAAAATTGGGTATACCAAAGGGCCATAAATTTAATGTTGCCGAATTTAAACGACAATTTTTGGATGTCGTAAGTGAGAGCCATGAAAAAAAGCCTTCGTTAATTGCCCTATTCGAAAGCGTGGAATTGCAAGGTGAAAATTATCTTAAACACGCCATACAAGTGTACCATTTCCTAATGCTGGTAACGGTATGCTTGAAAGAAACTTTTACAGCCGAGAAAAGTTTGCAAATATTTAAACAAATTAGAAAATACGTCAGTAAATTTCCAATAAAACATTTGGACTACTCGCAAAGTGATAAATCGACGAATCTATTGAATTTTATCCCAATGCAATTGTTTTGTGATTTCTTATTGGCCCTAACAAAACATACTAATTTGGACAAGATATCTGATTGTTCCTGGGAAACGTTAAAGAATGCAGATTTGGAATATTTACTTACTGTATTCGAATTTTTGGCCAACAAATCATTCAGTTTGGATTCTGAACAAAAGGAGTGGTCGAAAATATTGAAGGAATTGTTTGATTCGGTATTCAAAAATTCAATGCAAAAGTTATGTTTCTTGCTTGATTTCTATGTTTATGAAGAACATGCAGCTATAGTGGACTACCCTGTGTTGCGTGTAAGAGCTTTTAAGCTTACTCAAACTTTACTAAAAAACAACAATAAGCTGAATTTGGAAGTCCTCCATGCATTAAAAATAACCATAGCCTTATTAAGCCCGTCACAGGTCGTACGTTTAGAGGCTTTGGCAACATTAAGAATTCTATTGAATGAAGGCGGCTCTACGCTAAATGGGGACTTACAAGTATTTGTGAAATCAGCACTTGAGCGGTCGGAAGAGATATCCATGGATGCTGAGCAATATCCCTTAGTTTTTTATGGCCTTTTGAAAGGTTGTGAAAAGAAGCATAACTTAGCAATGAGCTCCAAAATTTTGAGAGGAATTTTAGCCATATTTGCCCAAAATGAGTCTTTGGAGCAAGCAGTGTTTGTGGAAAAACTTCTCCGTATCATAGTCCACATAAGTGATGATAAGGACATTGTTAATAGCGTCATTCCTTTGGCCTCGAGGGCCCTGCAACTCTTTACTTTGGATCAATCCGTGCAACATTTAAAGGAACCACACGCTACTATATTCCGGTCAGTGGTTGAACGCTTTAATACTAAACATATTACAGAAATTTTAAATGGTAATCCTAAAGCGTGGGCGTTAATTGAAAAAGTGTTAAACAGCAGCATGGTATTCGTCAGCAGCGAGGATGGCATGAAATCAGTTACATGTGTCTTTTTGGAATCCCTGAATGAAGTCACCTTCGAGAAAATGCCTTCAAAATACAGAGACCAATTTTTGTTATTGCTCATCCAAAATTTGGCTGGTGCTGAGAATGACAGTACCTTCTTGGCAGCAAATAAACTATTGAAGAAGTGCTCCTTGAATTGTGAACCATTGCAGGAAATCATACACAACATGTACAAGGCTTGTTTGGAGAGTAGTAAATCTTCAACTCCTCGCCGCGGCGCTAATAAAAGAGAAAGTATGCAGTCGCCCGTTGTACAAGTCAATGGCCTTGACTGGCAGCAAGGTGTGGTTTTAATGGAAATTTTGGAGAATAAAAAGAAACTAGAGAATGCCACGGTGTTGATACCTGTCCTTTTTGAATTGCTTAACTGTTGCCTGGCCGTTGAGGAGCAAACAACAGTGGAATATACCAAACAGTTAGTTTTATCTGCTTTGCTAAATTGCTGTCAAAAAGCGACCGAAAATAAAGTTAATTTGCAAACAGCATTGCCCAAGGCAACCTTCCGAGTGGATCAAATTGTACAGTGTCTTCGCGCGTCACAAAATCCGCAAACTCATCACAATGCCTTGCTATTGCTTTCTCACTGTGCTGGCCTGTTTCCCCAACAAGTATTACATAATATCGTGGACATTTTTACATTTATGGGTTCTTCTGTGGTTCGCCATGATGATGCTTTCAGTTTTCATATCATCAATGACATAATTATATCTATTGTGCCGATTTTGGTAAAGGATAAAAATGCAGTTGTACCAGTACTCAAAGTTTTCTCCGACATCATGCTAGATGTTCCAGAACACAGACGTCTGCCTTTGTACACCAAACTCATTAATACATTAGGTTCCATACAACATCTTTGGATGTTTTTGTGCGTGGTTTTTGAGGCTCATGTAATTGATGATGAAAAACAAAGACTGTTACAGAAGAAATCGGCGAAAACTTCGGTAGCATCGGCCGATCAAATGTCTAAGAGAATTGAGATTGTCCTAGAACTAACCAACACTTTTGCTCCCGACGAGATTTTGGAAACATGCGTTCAACTTATGAAATATACGCAGGAGTTACCCATGCAAAAGCAAGATAAACCTGAAAAAAAGTCCGTGACTAATGCCGATAATCACGAAGCCAGTCTATTCGACGTCAATGCTCGCTCGGCCAAACAGCTAAGACATTACAAGTATGTCATAATGCAATTCCTTTCCGCTGTAACCTCGTCTAACGACTTCTTAAAGAAAATCGCTTTGCTAACAGATGATGAAGTATTGGAGATGAAATCATACTATCAGAAATTTATTATAAGGATACTTTCCTATGTGCCGCAGGTCACTTCGGCCATTGAAAAGGCCGAAGAGGCATCACTTCAAAAATTCTGGAAAGTTATATTACATCATTTGCATGACGTTTTGGACAACTCAATTTCTCTCTTATCGGCTGAAATGTTTTTAGTGGTTGTCAATGGCCTTATGCATCATCAATTGCTCTCCATACGCAAAAAGGTCATCGAGCTTTTGATTAGTAAACTTCAGCAACGAGATGGTTTCTTTGATGCAGTGGACTCCAAACTTTTCAATGACCTGCTTCAGCCTTTGACCGAAATTACAAACGGAATTTTGGAACGTGACGAAAGCATTGATGCATCGCATCAGAATGAATTGGTCTTTTTGCAACAGACAGCTTTGATAGCCATTAAACTGTTATCAAAGTCGTTCGCATTCAAGCATATTCCTGAATTTAAGGAGATTTTGACAACCCTCACTAAAATCGCTCGTCAGCGTACATCAATTTCGAAAATTGTTTTGGCCACAGTTGTTTTGACAATGATTGAAATATCATCAAATTTGAAAGCGCACTCCATTGCTCATTTACCCAAATTTATGCCTCAACTCATCGATATATTGCAAGATCAAGCTGAATTGGTTCGACAACAGCCACCAGATAACATTTGTGTGGCCATTGTAACGGGTAAGTTGGAAATATAATTTTTAGTTTTAATTTTTAATTGAATTAAATTTTGTTAAAAAAGCCCTGTTGAAAGTAGATTAAGTAATTTTTAGGCTAAAGAAAGAATCTAATTAAAATGTGGCGCTGGTAGTTTCTTGTTTTTCCCTTAATGATTTAAAATGGAATGTAATGTTGTTTTGAAGTAATATTAATATTAATTTAATATTTCGATTTTAAAAACATCAGTCTGATTTGTTATTGATGGAATTATTATTAATTGCCTGATATTTGTTTTTATCTTTCACAGGAATGCAAAAGCTATTTGAGACACTGCCATTGTTTTTGGGACCCTATATTGTGGACATTATTACAGCACTCAGTTCTATTGGCACCCGCATTAAAGCCCAGAATAATGAAAAAGATCAGAGATCTGCCACAACTTTACAAAAAATCACAACAATTTGGTCGAAAATATCGGCAGAGGTCCCATTGCGCATTCTTGTGCCTTCTTGTGATAAGGCATATGCCAAGTTAATGACAACCAAGAATTTCGCAGATATAAGCGTACTTATGAAACTACTACATACGGCAATTGCACGGGCAGAAAATAAGGATTTGGTAGCCGTTCATTCAGAATTGAGCACAATGTTCATGCAAGCTTTAGAATTCCGGTTGTTATTAAAAGGTTCCAATTTAGAGTGCGAAGTAATAACCAAAACTGAAACTACAATTGTTGAAGCCCTTGTCGGCTGGGTATTGAAACTTTCGGAAAGTTCATTTAGACCCTTGTATCACAAACTCTACAATTGGGCTTTCCAGCACGATAAACCCCAAAAAGAAACTTTGTTAACTTATTTCTTGTTGACACAAAAAATAGGCGAATCATTGAAGTCATTATTCGTTCTCTTCGCCAGTGAATTCATTGAAGATGCTGCCCGCCTTCTGGACGAATGCAATACTCTTAAGACGGAAATACAAAGCAAGGATGAAGTGATTACAACTCAACTGTTATTGGCTATATTGGGAACCTTGTACAATATTTTCCTATACGATAGCAAGGAATTTGTAAATGTCCAACGTTTTGAATATCTTATGCCCGCAATTGTTGATCAATTGGAGAATCGTTTAGTTTTGGAGAATGAAAGTTTACAAACAGTGCTGGGACAATGTATATCTCAGCTTGCCGTTGATGTGTCCAGTGATGTGATGTGGAAACAACTGAATTATCAAGTTTTGCTTAAGACGCGCACCACTGTACCCGAAGTTCGTATATTTGCCTTTAATTGTTGTGTAGAGATTGCACGAAAACTGGGTGATGATTTCACTCCATTATTACCCGAAACTGTACCATTTATTTCTGAATTGTTTGAAGACGAAAATCCTAGAGTGGAGAAGAATACTAGAAAATCGGTACAGGAATTGGAAGTTATTTTAGGCGAATCATTACAAAAATATTTGTAATAAACTTTTTAAAATATGATTTTTAAATTTTTATTTTTTTTTTAATAAACTACCCTACAAAATATACATACTGGTGTTTTACAATAATACAAATTTATTTCAAAATTAGAGTTAATATATAGTTATGTTCGACCTTGCATTCTTTTGTTCTAGTATATTACAACAATTTTAGTTTATTTAAAAAATTATGGACAATTTTCATAAAGTATTGAATGTGTATCGTACGTTTCACATTGCATATCTTCTTCGCTCTGCGATAGCCTGGCAAATGGACTAAATTCTAAATGCAGCAATTTTGAACAGCCCCATTTGGTTGCCTCCTTACAGGTAATATCCAAATTAACAGTAAACTGATCTTTAGGCCATTTTGTTGGCCACATAAATTGTTGTCCATCGAGCTCAAGACAAGATTGAAACAATGTGCATATTTTCTTTGACCCATGTACTGTAAATGTGAACGATGTTCGAGGAATGCGTTTGCCAATGCTCGTATCATTGCCGAACACATATAGCTCACTGGGACATTCGCAGACACGTCTAAAAATAGTAGCATTAATTGAGATTAGGTATAAGAGCGACAAGAGCATTATATGCGCCCTAAATATAAAAATGTCAGTGTTACTATAAAGAAGATGTTCCAAATTTTAGGAAATCCTTGGAGTCTACATTAACGTTGCCATTTCGTTAAAAACAAGTACCATGTTTTACTTACAATAACCCAAAAATTCTTTGTAAAGGTAATACATATTTCGTTTTTAATATTTGATGACATAGAGAGCAGTATTTGGCTAAGTCTATAATTGGTTATTCCGTTTTTAACTCCTCGAAATGCCAATGTAACATACAAATGTTAGATATTCTCGATCAGAGTAAAATGTTATGTAGATTTACAGATTACCATCTGTCTGTCTGTTGTAACCTCGCCATCTTTTGAAGGAATTGAGATATTGGGTAGGCAGGCTAAGTTCGTATATGGGCCATGTTGGTCCACGTTTTTGCATAGCCGCCATATTACGGTACCCTCCATATTCGGTAATCTGATGATTTTGACCACATTTGTCTACGGAATTGAGTCCATAATGGGTTCTGTCTTCTTTGATAGAAGAATGATGGAATAGATCCATGATTTTTATTATCGCCTATATGGAAATAACTCATAATATTTTATATTTTGGTGATTTTAAACAAAATTTATGAGCAATTTTTTTCTTTTTCAAATTTGGTATTTGAAACTTGCAATAGATAATTAATTACCACTCTAGAAGAAAGTCGGTTCCATCGACTTTCCGATATTTTTTAGGTTTTTACCAATCGATTTCACTAGGAAACAAGTTAAAAAGCTGTAAGTTCGGCCGGACTGAACTTTGAGTACCCTCCACCATTTGAACGAATTTAAAAATTTTTGAAATATAAAACCCGTAAAAATTCTGTAAAATCTTAAAAATGCGGAATATAGCCGTTATATTGGGGTCTATACGACGTGGACCTACATATGCATTGTTGTCATAAGCCATTACCATATTGACATTGACCTGCACAGACAATTTTCTGTCATAGGATTTAGTATCCATTACGAACTTCAAATACCAAATTTGAAACAATTCCGGTGAATAATGTCGCTAATACCGAATATTGGGAGGTGCCGTTATATGGGGGGCTATATAAAAACGTGGACCTACATGACCCATTTACGGACTTAACCTCCCTACTGACAAAATAAACATGTCTACAAAATTTTAGACTTCTATCTTGATTTGTTCGAAAGATAGCGTGATTACAACAGAGAGACAGACGGACATCGCTAAATCGACATAGAATTTTACGCTTGGGTCTTACATGAGTATTTCGAGGAGTTACAAACGGAATGACAAAATTAATATACCCTCCATACTATGGTGGAGGGTATAAAATACTACTTGTTCGTTTTAAAGTTACCAAAAATGCTAAATGGTACTTAGTATCGCTCCATCAATATTGAACGATCATAAGAATCTGGATATTTAACATTTGTCCGTGGCTTTGTTTAAAGGTGTTCAAAAATATGTTTTTTTTTTTCATTCAAAGAAAAAGTTCGTATGTTGCTTAAAAAATTCTAATTATGGTACGATTGCTAAGGAGAAAAAACTAACGCCCCGACGAAAGCATATTGAAATTTAACTCTAGGGTTACTCTGGCGTTAAGTTGTGAAATAAGGCCGAATTTTTAGAAAGTTTTACTAGAAAATGTGCAAATAACTAATACAATTTGCAAAATTGTGAAAAAACGGCAAACAAACAAAAAATTCCTTAATATAAAAACATTTAAAAACCAGTAAGGAAGGGTCAAAAGTTGGGCAGCGCCTATTATATGATACTCTATACAACTATTTGTATTTAGTAGAGCTCCCGCAACAAAAAGTTTATGTAAGTAGATCATACCAACTATGAACCTTATTTGAATACATATCATGCCTTTAGAGTAGTCACAATTTTGGAACTACACACAACTCCGAATCGATTTTCAAAAAAATTGAAGGAGGCTTTTGTACCTCTAGTACAAAATAACATTGCTGCACTTTGATAAGAATTGTATTAAATAATATTTATTGGAGCAATACTTTTATCGGAACGAGTTTCACCAAAAATTCTAATTAATATGAAATCCAGTTTGGGCTTATATTACATATATGGTGAACAATAACCGTAAAAATGTATGAAGTTGTATATACAAATCTGATCCACCTGAATCTGATGTCCAGTACATATTACGCACGTGTGCGACTTTTATACCAAATCGGATGAAACATATATATGGGAGCTATAGTTATATCTGAACCGATTTTAACCAAAATTTGAAGAACTTGCTTCTGGGATACATTTCATTTGGGCAGATATTAGCCATTTGGTACACAATAAACCTAAATCGGATAAAGATATATATGAGCAATGATCTGTTACTGGATGTAGAGTCTATTACGAACCCTAAGTACCGAATCGACTTAGAATTTTACACTGAATTACAAACGGGATGACACAGTTAACATACCCTGCATAGTATGATGGAGAGTTTAAAAATGTTTTATAATCTAATGAAAAGTTTTATTTACATCCGCATGTTGCTCCTTGTTATTTGTCGAATTTAAGTGGGGGAGGAGGTTGATGTGTAATTAGTTACCACGGCCAAAAATTCGTAGGAAACCCAATTTTTTCTAAAGGGAGTTTTTGTTTAGAATTCAACATAATAAAGTCCAAAGTACTATTTACAAAAAAAATTGAAGCAATTCATTACATAATTCATAGGTGGAATGAAATTGCCATTGGAAACTAAATAGCTAAGAACGAATCTTGAGTGCCAGTTAAGCTTGAAGAGAAATAATTTAGTTCACATTATTCCTTTAAGAACTCAATAGGTAAACAATTGAGATTCATCTCGGTTGTAATAAACTCGATGTTTTGGTCTAGCTGTTAAAAAATCAGTTAGGTACATCTTTCTCATCACAGAAGATTTGAAAAACTCTGCAAAAGTACCTCTAAACTTGACGTTGAACTTCATTCTGCTTTATCGATGGTACAATAAAAAGGTAAGGTAGAGCTTCCAGCTGATTACAATTTTTTTCTAAGTGTGCCCAATTTCTGCCAATTTGTGTGTGTGTATTTATTGTTGTGAAAAATGAAAAAATATTTTCGCGCATTAAAGCTATTACCCAGTTTAGCCATGAAATTGAAAGATTGAAAAGATTGGATCATCTTCTTGAAGCTTAAATTCAGACATTTCATTGATTTAAACCATTTTATAACTGATGAAAATATGAAAAAAAAAAAAAAATGAAAACAACTTGTTGTATATAATTTTAAATTAGTCTGCGGGAAGTGCGCATAGTCTCAGGGCTGTGTTTCTGTAGTTTTAGAAAGCTGTTTTGCCTCTTTATTGTACCATGGATCGAACTAATCAATGATTTCAGTGTACTAAGTATCTCTCGGCTCATATCCTTTTTTAAACTTTTAGGTAAGACATTAAACATTTAGAACATCGTGATTGTCACTTACTTGAATGCTTTTCCGGTTATGTTAGCTATTAGCATTTCTGTGAGTATGACTAACAAATGGTTTCTGCTAAATTCGCCTGGTGTCCGCTGCTTTGAGTTCCACAACATGCCAAGCCAGGGCCCTTCCAATTCGATAACAACTCGCCAGTGTAATGGTAGAGTAACCGATGATATAACGAAACATCTATCAAAAGACTTTGTGGGGGAGAAAGCATGTTTTGAAGACACATGTTTAATTGGGAAAAACACTTGATGTAATACCTTAAAAAATCTCATCAGTGTTAGGGTGTACAAAATCCTTGAAACTTGAGACATGGGATCGCCAATTTTGTCCTCAACCATGTTATAAAAATGTATTAAAAATTTACTTACAAGATTAACTTTAGGGCAAAATGGATTTTTATATGAATTTCGCAACATGGGTAATATGCAACCACAAAAAACTGATTCAAATCCGGAATTCACATACACCTCTGTGGCCTGCCGTATGCTCTACAATATATAAGTTGGAAATATTGCGATTTTGGATAATTTGCATGCAAACCCTTAATATTGCACTGGCGTAACTGTTGGGATCAATTGCAATCTCTTTGGTCAATGATTTTTCGAATTCATGCCTCACAAAGAGGTCATCGATGTCTCTAAACCGTTTTGAAGTATTGCGAATGCGATTATGGTGCCATATATTAACATATCCAATGATTTTCTCCAAAATTTCTGTTGGCAAATCAAATATATTTTTCCCTTGTTTTTCATCTTTAGATGATTGTTTTATATCCAGACGTGGTCTTTTGCATTTTAATTTAGACATTTTACAAAGAAATATACACAAAACAATATTTTGGGGTGAATACAAATCTAAAAAAAAATATTTTCCATTAATAGAAATTTTTGACATATTTTACAATTGTACCATGCCATGTTTCGAAAAAAAAAAATAAAACCAAGGTATATACATGGTAGAATTACAAGGTAACCCTTTCAGGCCAGCTGGTATCAATTTGATATGTCAAAAAATTGTTGTAATTTGAATTCGCCTTTCATTTACACATAAAAAAATTGTTGCATGATTTCAAACTTTAACAATGCTGTTGATAGCATGGTACAATGAATACAAGGTAGGCTAACTTTGAAAAAATTGCAAGTATAGAGGTCTACCTGTTTGGCTTGTAATGTCAGAATTACTATCAAAACAAAAAAAAGCAAACAACTTGTTGCATTGATTTTGAATAAATATTTTAAAACCTCGAAAACTGAATGAAAAGTCAAAATTTCTTTTCAAAATCATGTTCAATATATCTCTTATGGTTTATTTCGCGACAAAAACTGTAGATTTTGTCGATGTATACGTCGTAATAAGCATTTTGAAAACACCCGAATTTAAATATATTCTCAACAATTTTTTTATACCCTCCACCATACTATGGAGGGTATATTAACTTTGTCATTCCGTTTGTAACTCCTCGAAATACTCATGTCAGACCCAACAAAGTATATATATTCTTGATCAGCGTAAAATTCTAAGTCGATTTAGCGATGTCCGTCCGTCTGTCTGTCTGTCTGTCCGTCTGTCTGTCTGTCTGTTGTAATCACGCTATCTTTCGAATAAATTGAGATAGATGGCTAAAATTTTGCACACATGTTTATTTTTCCAGTAGGCAGGTTAAGTTCGTAAATGGGCCATGTAGGTCCACGTTTTCATATAGCTCCCATATAACGGTACCTTTGGATATTCGGTATTTTGATGATTTTAGCGACGTTATTCACCGGAATTGTTTCAAATTTGGTATTTGAAGTTCCAAATGGATACTACACCCTAAGATAGAAAATTGTCTGTGCAAGTCTATGTCTTCGTATAGCCCCCATATAACGGTACCTCCCGATATTCGGTATTTTGATGATTTTAGCGACATTATTCACGGGAATTGTTTCAAATCTGGTATTTGAAGTTCCAAATGGATACTACACCCTAAGACAGAAAATTGTCTTTGCAGGTCCACGTCTTTGTAAAGCCCCAATATAACGGTACCTCCCTATATTCGGTATTTTGATGATTTTAGCGACGTTATTCACCGGAATTGTTTCAAATTTGGTATTTGAAGTTCCAAATGGATACTACACCCTAAGACTGAAAATTGTCTGTGCAAGTCCACGTCTTCGTATAGCCCCCATATAACGGCACCCCGCTATGTTCGGTATTTTGATGATTTTAGCGACATTATTAACCGGAATTGTTTAAAATTTGGTATTTGAAGTTCGTTATGGGAACTACAGTCTGTGACAGAAAATTGTCGGTGCGGGTCCAGTTTCGAATTTGAATATGGTAATGGCTTATGACAAACAATGCATATGTATGTCCACGTCGTATAGACCCCAATATAACGGCTATATTCGGTATTTTTAAAATTTTAACAGAATTTTTTAAGGATTTTATTTTTTGAAAATTTCCAAATTCGTTGGAAATGGTGGAGGGTATTAAAAGTTCGGCTCGGCCGAACTTACTGCTTTTTAACTTGTTATTATTGAAAAGAATACACACACATAAACAAATGAAGTTGACATATTAAGCCAGAAAATAAAAAAAATTAAAATCAAATGGTAGTTCTGCCCTACCTTGAAATCATTGTACCATGGTTGATAGAAAATCGAGATGTAACGTTTTTATAGAGTATGATGGAAAAAGTGTATATTCAACATATGGTAGGCATAGGTAATATGGAGATCTAAAATTCGTGGATTTTAGAAATAAGTGAAACCGAGAATCAATTTCATATAGGAGATAAACCGATGCATGGAATTTCATCATCTTATTTGTACGGATTTTCAACTATGTTATACACTACAGGGCTTCAACAGAGAAAGGTGAATGATTTCAAAGCATATTGAATTGGTTTGGGGACAAACATTGGCAATTTTTGGGGTGTGATTAAATATTGAGATAATTTTTTTATTTCAAATTGTTCGAATGTATAAAAGTTATCTATACATAAACGACTTACTGTCTACTATACATTTCACAGCTTAGCAAAGAATATGCGTGGACTCACAGTAGACTCAGCCCCCTGTATCTTCTTCAATCATTGATCCAAATCTTAAGTAAGCCTGAGGAGTAAATATACCCTAAAGCATGGTACAATGAATTCAAGGTAGGGCAGAACAACCATATGATTTCAATTTTTTCATTTTTCTGGCTTAATATGTCAACTTAATTTGTTTATGTGTGTGTATTTTTTCAATAATAAAAAATTGTTCAGGAAATATTCAAATTTGGGTGTTTTCAAAATGCTTATTGCAACGTATACCTCGACAAAATCTACAGTTTTTGTTGCGAAATAAACCATAAGAGATATATAGAACATAATTTTGAAAATAAATTTTGACCTTTCATTCAATTTTCGCGGTTTGAAATTATTTATTCAAAATAAATGCAACAAGTTGTTTGATTTTTTATTGTTTTGATACTAATTCTGACATTACAAGCCAAACAGGTAGACCTCTATACTTGCAATTTTTTCAAAGTTGACCTACCTTCTCTTCATTGTACCATGCCCTAAAGTACCTTTTAGGTGGCATGTCATTACATTGCTGAAAAAGCGAGAAAGCTGACGATTTGGCAAAAGAAGGAAAGGGTACACCCCAGAACCACCACAAAACCAAATTTTAAAGCATCAAAACTAATTTTTCGGATTCTTTCTTGTAAAGAACATCATCGCTGTTGAATATGAAATCAACGTTGCCAACGTTACCAAGACTGCACGCTGTGTAAGGATGATGAAGACATAACAACGATTGGACGTCTATTATCGCAAATGTCCTTCGTTGGCGCGCTGGAAATGGGCGATCACTCCATTTCCAGTCTCTGTGATTTTAAAAAATGTTGTATTGAAAGTGCTATAATCAAACAAAGATGCAGTAGCTTCAGCATTACTTTCAATCGATGTTGGAAGTTTTGAATATTTGCTTTTGTAGTAGAAAAATCAACAATTTTGAACATTTTTAATTCAATATTTTGATTGGAAAAACAATTTGCCCAAATTTTGTACTTCAAATCAATTCGCTCTGACTACAACTTTGACATATCAAGTTTCCAAAGAAGTTGCTTTGTTGTAATTTTCCTGTTGCTACCTGCTATTTCTACCATGGATTTACCTAAAATCCTAATATTTGCCAAAATAATGAAGATATCTGTTCTACTGTTAGTATACGACATACTCTTGACTCTCTCTCCAACCCTAGGTATCTGTTTGGGGTCCGAGGAACTGGCCACACCTACTTCTTAAATTCCATATGTGAAAAATTAAAAAAAAGTATGGTAAGAACGGTTGGCCGATTTAACTCAAATTTTCTTTTGGTTATTTGTAATTACGGTGGAAAAGTTTTCATGAAAGAACATTTTGAGAAGAGCCTCTAGAAAAATTGTGGAACTAAAACAATTGTTCTATTTTGATATGGAATTTTGTGTAGAGTTATTTCAGAATGCTTTTTGGAATTGGAAATAGAAAAAAAAAATTGGAAAAAATAGTACCATCCATGGTACAATGAAGAGAAGGTAGGTCAACTTTGAAAAAATTGCAAGTATAGAGGTCTACCTGTTTGGCTTGTAATGTCAGAATTACTATCAAAACAAAAAAAAGCAAACAACTTGTTGCATTGATTTTGAATAAATAATTTAAAACCGCGAAAACTGAATGAATGGTCAAAATTTCTTTTCAATATCAAGTTCTACATGTCTCTTATGGTTTATTTCGCGACAAAAACTGTAGATTTTGTCGATGCATTCGTTGCAATAAGCATTTTGAAAACACCCGAATTTTAATATTTTCTGAACAATTTTTTATTATTGAAAAGAAGACACACACATAAGCAAATGACGTTGACATATTAAGCCATAAAAATAAAAAAAATTAAATCATATGGTAGTTCTGCCCTACCTTGAATTCATTGTACCATGGCACCATCCACCTTTGGGTAAAGGAAATATTTTTATATAAAAGTATCTGAATTCAAGCGTGTTTCACTTTAAGCTTCGTATACCAGTAAGACCGTTTTCATAATGCAGTTAAACTTATAAAAAACCATAGAGGGAGTGGGGCCGGTATATGGGGCCAAACGGGAACCTCTACAGACAATTTTATACTTCAAGGATTGTCATCTACCAAACCTTCTTAAATACCAATTTTGAAACAAATTCCTGGGTATCGTTATATTTGCGCTATAGAAAAACCTGGAACTGAATATTCAATGTTCTGCCACCGGACTAGAGCCCATTATGAACTGCAAATACCAACTTTAAGACCAATCCGTGAAGAAATGTCGCAAAAATCATAAAAATACCGGATATTGGGAGGTACCGTTATATGGGGCTATACCAAAACGTGGACATATACATACAATGTTTCGCCAGACGAGCTTGTTCCCATTATGACCTACAAATACCAATTTGTAGGCAAATACGTGAAAAAGTTTAGCAAAAATCATAAAAATACAGAATATGATGAGGTACCGTTATATGGGGACTATACCAAAACGTGGACCGATATATCTCATATACCAACCATCCTAGACACAATTAAAATTGTTCTGCTAAATTTTGACGCACTACATCAAATAATGTAAGCTGTATAGTGATTTCAACAGACAGACAGACGGACGGACAGACAGACAGACAGACGGACATCGTTAAATCGACTTAGAATTTTATGCTGATTATGAATATATATACTTTATGGGGTATACGAGGAATATTTAGGGATGTTACGAACGGAATAACAAAGATAATATACCCTCCTTTCCAAGGTGGAGGGTATAAAAAACCGAAAACTCGGGAAATTCTATATATATTTTTTATACATGCCGTTATATGGTTGCCATACCAAAATTTTCTCAAAGCATCA